GTGGTGGTCAAAAGCAAAACACCAGTGAGGGAAGGAAAGGAGAAAGAAAAGCATAAATGGGGGGGAGGGGGGAAGATGGAGACTAAGACACAGATAGCAATCATAGCTGTGAGAGTCGAATCGCTATCTTTTTTTCCCTCTTCTGTTGAGTTTTGTTTCCTCTTTCGGATGGTTCCTCCTATGGGTTTTAATTCTTACTTACAACTTCAGTAATGTGAAAATGTTTAATAGGAATGTAAATGTACAGCCTATATCAGATTGTGCGTCGTCTTGGGGAGGGTGATAGGGAGGAAGGGGGAGGAAAATCTTAAACTCAAAGCATATGGAAGTGATTGTTGATAAATCAAAAGAAATTAAGAAAAGAAATTTAAAAAAGAAAGAAAGAAAAATGGATGTGCGTGTAGGTACAGAATTTCAGAGTTGAAAGGGACTTCAGCAGTCGTCTAGGTCCAACTCAGACACAAGAAGAATCCCCGTTATAACATGTCCAATGAGGGGTCATCTGGTCTCTCCTTCCAAGAAGGGGAAACTGACCATCTCATAGGGCAGCCCATCTCTGTTTTCAGAAAGCATGAATGTTTCAGATGTTTTTCCTAAACTCAAGCCTAAACTTGCCTCTCTCCATGTGCACTGCTCCTGGTTCTACCCTCTGGGGCCCAACAAACATATCTTAAATCCCAATTCCACATGACAGCCCTTCAAATACTGGAAGGCAATTATCATGTGCCCCCTGAATCTTCTCCAAGCTAATCATCCCTACTTCTTTCACGTTCTTGACTCCTGGCTCTTCAACGCCTTGGTCATCTTCTGAACACTCCAGTTTGTCAAGCTCAATTCTGAGCAAAGCACCTGAGGAGGTGGAGCCAAGATGGCAGAGTGAAAGCAGCGACGTGCTTGAGCTCTCCCCCAAACCCCTCCAAATACTCATAAAAAATGGCTCTAAACAAATTCTAAAGCAGCAGAACCCACAAAATGAGTGAAAAAAATTTCCAGCCCAAGACAACCTGGATGATTGATCAGAAAGCTGTATCGTGGTGGGCTGGGAGTGGAGCGCAGCGCGGCGTGGGCACGCAGGCCGCAGCAAACCTGGAGCAGGCCTCAGAGGACTGAATCGCCGGCAGCTGTAGAGGTTTCCAGACTCCTCAATCCACCAATGCCAAAGACAACTTAGAAGGTCAGTGGGAAAAGTCTGTTTCTGTCGGTGGTCAGAGAGGAAGGCGGGGTTTCAGCTCCATTCCCCAAGAGCCTGGCCCTGGGTGGGGGGGCAGCTGCTTCCTGAGCTTCCAACCCACAGACTAAGGGGGAATCCAGTGGCTGATCAGAGAGGGATTGCAGGGATCTCTTTGCCAGTGCTGAGGCAGGAATCTCTTGCTTTGCCCATGTTCGGATCTGGGTCACAGTTCTGGGCGGCAGTGCTGGGGTGAGGAGGAGCACTGGCATGGTGGAGCTTGGAGTGGCTGTGGAGAGGAGCCCCTCCTCACAGTTATACGACAGAAAGGAGTACTTGTGGTCACAGGCCAGGAAAGGAGTAAACACCTCGCCCCTTATCATACCACCTTGGAAGAACTGAAAATTTACAGGTCCCTACAAGTAGCTCTGAAAACAGCTGTACAAACCCCTGAAGCTTGGGATAGTACATTCTCCACACTGGAAGCAGACTCTTACCTTAACAAGGAGTTTAAAACTCAAGTAATTGGCCGGGATCATGAGCAAGCAGCGCAAAAAGAGTCAGACTATATTATCTTACTTCGGTGAAAAAGAAGATCAAAATATGCGACCAGGAGAAGACAACAAAGTCAAAGCTCCCACATCCAAAGCCTCCAAGAAAAATATGAATCAGTCCCAGGCCTTGGAAGAGCTCAGAAGGGATTTTGAGAAGCAAGTAAGGGAAGTAGAGGAAAAACTGGGAAGAGAAATGAGACTGATGCAAGCAAATCATGAAAAACAAGTCAACAGCTTGCTAAAGGAGACCCAAAAAAATACTGAAGAAAACACCACCTTAAAAAATAGCCTAACCCATAGAGAAATGCAAATCAAAACAACTCTGAGGTACCACATCACACCTGTCAGATTGGCCAACATGAGAAAACAGGAAAATGATAAACGTTGGAGAAGAGGTGGGGAAATTGGAACGCTAGTACATTGCTGGTGGAGTTGTGAAATGATCCAACCATTTCAGAGAACAATTTGGAACTATGCCCAAAGGGCTACAAAAGTGTGCATCCCCTTTGACCCAGCAATAGCACTTCTAGGGCTCTATCCCAAAGAGATCAAACAAATGGGAAAAGGACCCACATGTACAAAAATATTCATAGCAGCTCTTTTTGTGGTGGCAAAGAATTGGAAATTGAGAGGATGCCCATCCATCGGGGAATGGCTGAGCAAGTTGTGGTGTATGAATGTAACGGAATACTTTTGTGCTGTGAGAAATGATGAACAGGCTGACTTCAGAAAAACCTGGAAAGACTTATATGGTCTGATGCTGAGTGAAGTGAGCAGAACCAAGAGGCCTCTGTACACAAAAACAGCCACGTTATGCAATGACTAATATTGTTAAACTGAACCCTTCTCAGCATTACAAGGATCTCAGATATCTCCAGAGGCCTCAGGATGGAAAATGCTGTCCACATCCAAAGAAAGAACTATGGAAGTCGAATCGTGATCACTTATTTTTACCTTCTGTTGAGTTTTGTTTCATCTTTTTGATTTTTCCTCCTATTGGTTTTAATTTTTACTGACAACTTCACCAACGTGAAAATATGTTTAATGGGTATGTAAATGTAAAGCCTATATAAGATTGTGTGCCATCTTGGGGAGGGTTGGGGGAAGAAGGGGGAGAAAAATTTTCAACTCAAAAGCATATGGAAGTGATTGTTGATAAATCAAAATAAATGATAAAATTTAAAAAACAATAGCCTAACCCAAATGGCAAAAGAGGTCCAAAAAGCCAATGAGGAGAAGAATGCCCTAAAAAGCAAATTTGGCCAAATGGAAAAGGAAGTCCAAAAGCTCACTGAAGAAAATACTTCCTTGAAAATTAGAATACAGCAATTGGAAGATAGTGATTTTATGAGAAATCATGACACAGTAGAACAAATCCAAAAGAATGAAAAATTAGAAAACAATGTGAAATATCTCACTGAATAAAGCACGGGGAACCAAACACAGAGGACCCCTTGACAAGGTCGGGATGCACTGCAAATACCCTCTTCCTGGAAGCTCTGCACTTCTTAATGCAGCACGAGATCGAATGCCCTTTTTTGGGGCCCATCTGACTCTGCTGATCAGTACTGAGCTTGCAGTCCACCAATACTTTTTCAGAACTGGCTATTCTCACTACCACTACCCTCTACCCCTCTGACTGGAAGGCGGAGGGAGCCTAGATCTCCAAAACCTCCATGGAGGGAGAGGGCTCAGCACAGACATCTCTTCATTTCCCACTTGGCTGCACTACTTTAGGACTTCTCTACACTGCCAAGGGCATGGGACATCTTTCCACTCCTGCTTTTCAGCTTCCTTTTGTGTCAGGTCTTCCCTCATTAGATTAGAAGCTTCTTGAGGGAAAGGGCTATCTTTCTTTTTACGTATTTGTATCTTCAGCATGGTGCCTGGTACCTAATAGTTCTGAAAGTAATGTCTAATCCTTATTCCCGGATCTTCACAACAAGAGTAGGAGAAACTAATACAAAAAAAAAAATCTGGTAAAGCCTAACTAAAGTATATCCATAGCATTCTCCTCAATTACTAGTTAAGTAATCCCATCAAAAACGGAAATGAGGTTGCTACATTCCAGGCACAAGAACATCTGCGAACAGGCTTCAATCCTTATTAAGTTACAGCAGACGACAAATGAGAACGTGAGAGATTTTTGAAAAGAAGATTAGAGCAGCTCAGAGGGGACCGTGACTAACGATAGGTGCTACAGGCTAGAAATGAGCCGATGGAACCAATAAGTGTTCTCTAGAGCCATCTGGCAAAAGGACAAATGGCCCAATGTTTAAACATGAAAGTGAATTGTAAAAAAATTAAATAATGGTTAACACACTTTTAAATTTAATAAGGCAGTAGACCTAGAGGAGGTATCGTATAACACATAGATAGCTGGCCTTGGGGCATGAAAATCTGAGTTCAAGCCCTGCCTTTGACACACACTGGCTGAGTGACCCTGCTCACATCCCTTTACCTCCCAGTGCTTCAAGTAGCTCTTAAAAACTATTAGCTGCACAGCAAATGTTGACCTGCACCTATGAAATCACAGATCCAATTTAAACAGAATAAAGTGAAGACCTGGTAGTGTGCTACTCTACCCCAACAAGGTAAGAGAGAAATCCAGTTAAGGATAGAAAAGCCTGACCCCAATAATTACACATTGCTGCAAAAGGCAGGAAAACACTAGCTTCCATGCTTCATGGAGGATGCAGACTTTTTACTTTTAAACCTGTCCCATTCCCTGCCCTGTGAGCCCTAAGAATCTCTCCTGTGTTTCTCTCATTAAAGCAAGTACTTTGGATTCCCCACATATAGTCTCCAAGGTTGGCACCAATGACCATCAGAAAATCAGCCCTCTCCTAAAGGGAAAAGATATGGAATTCACTCTGAAATATGAGTCTTGAGGCTGAAACAATCCCAATGTGATGCTTGGAGAAGAATTACATGTGATCCTTTGGACGTAGGAAACATAGCCAAGAAGCAAGTAACGGAAGCCTTAGTGAATCCAGGGTGAATATGGTTCCACATGTAATACTTCCTAATCTGCTCATGATCAGAAGAGGCTAAAGTCTGGATTGTAATTCTACCCTTGCAATAAAAACCAAACAATCACATTACCCTCTAACTCAAGAGGTTATCAGTTAGGACTCTAACCGAGCTCCCGTCTCTCTAACCAAAGAGGATTCTTTCCCTGACCAATGCCCTCCTGCCTTCCCTACTAAACAGACACCGGGTGGTTCTTGCCATTTACAGAGGTTATGGTTTCAACTCTAACAGTATTCTCTTCCTACCAGTGGAGAAAGCCCTAATCTACTTCCTGAGTTCTGAGACTGTTCAATGAAATCTTTCAAGCGTTCCTCTGGAGGAATGTAAATCTCATCCTGGTGCAGTCTGATGCTGTGATGATGTCTTGCTTTTCGTCTCGTATACCTAAAGGTGTAAAGAGGAAATGTTACTTAGTTACCCAGGTACAGGAACAGGTGAAAACATGGCACAGAAGATGATTCACCACATTCACTTTGGCGCTTAAATCACTGACTCACAGTAGTCAATACAACGAGTCATAATTATTCCAAAGGAAATAATTTTATATTTCTTAACCAATCACCATCATTCACATTTTTCTCTTTTCCTAGAGTTCAGGATCAGACTTCAAAGTGTCTCTACTCAGTGACCTAAAGAATCGTTCCTAAAGAGAATAGATGTTTTGCTAACTTTGCAACTCACTTCCTGCACACCACTGACTTCTATGGAAGCTTGTACTCTATTCAGTATTATAACAATCCATTTGTTTTATACCTTACTTTCATACTGAGGGTAACAGAAGAGATCATATAGAGATCTAGAGATTCCTTTCAGAAATGAGCAAACTGAGGCCCCGGGAAACGAAATGTGACTCAGGGTCACAGGCACTGATTTTAAGCCGTGTGACTTCACAGCTGGTGCTGTTTTTGATGTTCCAAAATGCCTTCCTTCTGAAACGCCATCTGGTCCAATAGGTGCCTAAACAAGAATTCCCTTTTCTAATACTCAGGATGAGCGCTGATGCAGCTTTCACCTGAAAACCTCTAAAGTACAACCACTATCTCCAAAGGAAACCCATTCCATTTGGGGACAGTTGGGGAAATAAGTAGTAGAAAGCTTTTCCTTCTATGAAATCTAAATTGGCCTCACTGTATCTTCTGCTCATAGCTCCCAGTTCTAACCTCCGGGACCTAGTGAAGAAAGTCTGATCTCTTTTCCTCAATTGTCAGTTAAGCACCTGAAGACTGTTAAATCATCACTTAGTCCCCCACACATACAGACAAAGGCAGAAAATTTTAAAATGGGAAGAAGGACAAAAGACAATTCAACCCGCAATTAAGCTTTAAAAACATGTTTTACTTATAGTTTAATTTTCTCTGATTCCTAATAAAGACATGAATTAAATGACTTGAATTGTAATTTCTTATTTTTTAGAAAGCAAGAGTGGCTGGTGTTCGTAATAAGAGGGTTAGGTTGAAGGCAAGTAGTAGGAGCAACAGAATGCCTTGACAAGTTATCTACTGCCTCATCTAATAAAATCACTTTGATCTTATAAATGTATGTTTTAATAATCAGCAAAACTTTCCGAAAATATTCTTCAAATACATGGGGCATGGGAGAACAAATCTCACCTTTTTCTTACAATGAGAAAAGCTGAGTTCATTGACTAAGCTATTCTACCCAAAAAAGCCTGTGGTATTTCAACCTTCCTGCATGAAATAATACTTACAAGATAACAATGCAATTTCAACATCTTCCACTGTACACGTTCTTATAGCTTCCATTGATGTTACCATTGGGGCAGATATTAATAAATGGCAATAGGTTTTTTTAAAGAAAATATATACTTAAAATAGCTTCGCTATAACTAGAAATGAAGTATAATAGCTGGATTTTGCCCCAGGTAGTAAATGTGCAAATGAAACCTGACCTTACCCAAACACCTAGAGTATAGGCATTCGGAAGACACCTGCTACACAAAAGGGCTCTACTTACGTGTTGGAGACTTACCTGAAAAACCAGAACAGAATCAGAAGGATCAGAAGGAAGCTACAGACTGTCACAGATATCAGTATGGCCTTATGCTGTATGGATTCATCAGCAAATTCTAAAATAAAAGAAAATGGAGTCATAGCATGGAGATACCTTTAACTTCAAGTTCAAAGCCAAGCACTCTCTAAAGACTGCTTACTAGACTTGGGTTTGGGGGCAACTAGGTGGCGCAGTGGATAGAGCACCGGCCTTGCGGTCAAGAGGATCTGAGTTCAAATCCAGCTTCAGACACATAACACTCACTAGCTGTGTGGCCCTAGGCAAGTCACTTAACCCCAACTGCCTCGCCAAAAAAATTAAGAAAACAATAGATGGGTTTTTTGCAAGTTTTAAAAAGTCTTTCAATGTTTGATTTCAAAAGTAGCAAAACCAATCCTTTGCCCCTCGTCCCTGGGGGAGTTAATCCCTTCAGTTTTGTATCTCTGACATGGGGGGTGAAATGTCCTAACTGGGGTGAATGAGTGAGTGAATGCAAGTGAATACATACCCACTCTATCTAGCCAGCCCCACGCCATGTTCACATCCAGCTTCTTCTGGCAATGTCGGTGCTTCTGTCTCTAATCACCAAGAACATAACCGAAAAAGCTTCAAACTGAAAAGGGACTGGGCAGAGGTGGGGGGCAGGGGAGATTGCCTACGATATCCACTAAACTCTAGACTGTAGAGAGTACTTACAAACGAAAATAAAAGAACAGCAGTGAAGGTACCAGAAATTCACAGAAAACACAATCCAAGAATAAAGGCTGTAATACACTACCATAGTCCAAGGCACCACACCAAGAAAGGACCACAGTACGGTCAACATTAGTCATTAACTATCAACAGGCATCTACTAAGGCTCATAATGTGGCAGACATGGTGCTACATAGTGAGATACAAACATAAAAATGAAACAATCACTGCCTTTGAGGAGCTAATATTTGATTGGAGGAGATACCTCCTCCCACACAAACATGCATGCAAAAAACGTATAAAATAAGTACTAGGTAACTTTAAGTGGGGAGCGCACAACCATCTGAGGACATAAGAATAGGGTGTAGGTAGGAAGTGATGTTTGAATTAAGGTTTGAGAAAGACAAATGATTCTAAGACGACAACGTGACAATGGACAGCCTTCTAGGTACGGGGGAGAGCCAGGACAAAGGCAATGGTGCCGTGTGTCAGGAATGGCAAAAAGGCCACTCAGCTTGGACAGCAGAGGGTGAAAGGAGGGATAACCTATGTGAAGCCAAGGTTGTGAAGTACTTTAAAAGGTAAACAGTGATTTCCCACAACGTCATTCAGCATCACGTGAGTAGAAACAGAGAAGATGGGTGGTGGAAGACCCAAGAATGGGGTTTGGCAAGGTATGAGCATCAAGAAGACAAGGAGAAAGGTACTCGAAAGTACAGTGTGAAAAGCAACTGCTTAACTCTAGGTTGGAGATGGGGGAAGGAGAACTGTGAAATTAGAACAGAAGTGACTGCTGGAGAGACTCCTGAGGGGTGGAATAATTTGAGGTCCCAATGAGGATCGATAATAGGCTTAAGAGGAAGTAACAGAGAGATGAAATTTTAGGAGGTTTTAATCTAAAAAAAAGATTCTTTGGGGTTTTTGACTGTCGAACTGGAACACCTTTGGGTGATGGGGAGTTTCAGGGTTGATGCCATCAATACATCATACATACATGTGTGTATGTATGTACGTATACCTGAAATGGAGGAGAGAAGTAATCATGAGGGTTAAGAAAAATGAGAAAAGAAAGACTAGAGATTCTGACAAGGCATGAAATATATACTTTTTTTGATGATGCAATCAGGGTTAAGTGACTTGCCCAGGGTCAAACAGCTAATAAGTGTCAAGTGTCTGAGGCCACATTTGAACTCACGTCCTCCTGACTCCAAAGCCACAGAATTCCTAATTAATGTTGAGGAACACAGACATCTTTGTTACAAAATCAGCTCTTTCTTTTTTCAATTTCAATTTTCCTTCTGCCCAAAAGAAGATAGATTACACAGTATATGTTCAAAACAGAAAGAAGTCAAAACCACAATTACTTCTTATGATCAACATATGAACAAATAATATTGGGTTTCACTGCAACCAAATATTAGGAAATGTCTTCTGGAAATCCCCAGACTCATTGCCTGTCAGTGTAAATGGTGAATAGAGAAAACTGTGAGGCCTCTATTTTTTTTGCACTCCTCTGATCACCTTTTAGATTTATGAGAGCAACGAGATAAAAAAGTGCCTAAGGGGCTTGGGCTTTACTGTCATCTATTTGAAAAAAAAATTTAACACAAGACCAAGTTGACACTGCTTGTCCTATTATCCCTACGACTTTGCTTGTCTTCTCTCATAAATCAGTGATAGCCACCGATTGTTTCTGTTGCTCACACCCACCATGTTTGAATCTACCATAATCTGTTCTTCAGCCATTAACAATGTAAACATTCAAGACACTTGGTAGTAGCCCTTGAAAGGAGATACTCCTTGATACCTATACAGAAAATGATAGGACACAACTTACCGTGGTAGCTTATTTCTCTTACCTTGTCACTCCAACTATATGGTGAATTGAGAAGGAGAAGCCCCCATTGAGGTCCTGTTAACTATATTAGAGTAGATTTTACTAAGGACCTAACATGGTTTTAGGGCCCAAGAACAGTCTGTCAATGCAGATCTCTTGGAACCCTATCAGTTGTATTTCCCAAAACAAGAACATAATCTGTGCCTATTGCTTTTCTGTTTCCTCAAATATCAAGTGTTCTGTTTTACTTTGAATGCATGCGGAAGTGCTCTCTCTCTCTCTGTTAAATTCTGGAAATGATGAGTCAGGATCATTTAGAAAAACCCCACCAAAAACAAATGTATCTTTGGAACATCATTCCCTATCACCGACACAGCCAAAGAGCCGAGGCTGTGATCAGCAGATTCAGGAGCTGTGCAAGGCAGAGATAAAGACATAAATGCTGCTCGTACTCTGTTAAATTTAATAAGCAATTGAAAAACTGTACAGAATGGAAATTCAAGATTTTGTATACCATTCGATTCTTCATACATGTTTAAGTATACATGTGTGTATACATATATATACATGTTGTACACATGCTATACACACTATAATGTTTGCATTTGTGGATGATTGCTAATTTCATAGTAAAAAAGAAAAAAATTTAAAAACAAAAGAAATAAAAAGTAAAACAACTCAACTATTCACACCAATATTCTACCTCAGAATCCTGTGTGGTTAGAAACGGGAACGATCATAATTGTTGTCAATGTTTTCCAGACAGAAATGTAACAGTACTTAATGGAATAAATATACATCAGGGGCATAACACTGAGCTAGACTGGAAGGAAGATTTGGAGACTAATCTTTCAATGTGCTACCACATTATTCTTCTATCTGTATTACAGCGGCCGTGGCAAGAGTATATGAGCAGAGTTCGTTTAAGCCTCTACTGAGAGAATTTCATTTGTTGTTGGGAATATCTTTATTTTGTGTTAGGTAGCAGTTTTAACAGATCCAGGTAGGAAGTGAAGCTTTTAAAAATACATATTTTCTACAGTGTGGATATCCAAGAAGAAAAAGTATAAGAGTTGTTTTCCTGAAAATGAGATTGTCTCCTTTAAGGGTAAGTGATTTGTCCAAGTTTACACAGCCAGGATCCATCTATGGGACACATGCTGAAGGTCCCCAGACACTCCTCCCCACTGTCTTTGCAAAGAACATTATAAAATAGTCATCTCTAGATTTAAACTCTTATCTGCATATTTCTAATAATCACTTACCTGAAGAGATTAGACATTCTATATAGCTGAATTAGGGAAAACTGGTAGGAAGTGGAGGGTGAGAATCTTTCAAACGGTTCTCACGTTTTCTCCCTAACCTTGAGCCATCACGTTTTGAAACTGCTTTGTAAGAATGCGCATTTTCCATGCGTTAACATGTCAAAGCAAAACTAAATGATTTTGGAAGGCTGATGTCCTTACAACCCCATCAAACTATTTCATTTTCCCCTAAATTTCTAGGAAATAATGATGTTAGCTTGGTAAAAGAGTCAATGCTGAAATCTGAGTCTAGAAGGCTCAGTGCCCACATCCAACCACATTATTCATCCAATATTTGGCTTGTGCACTCATTGCTTAATGCTGCAAACAGAAGTCAGACTAAATCAGAAGGGACATCTTTGGCCTTTCTCGCCTGCTGCAGCAGATCTCCAACTGCATCATGTATCAGTCACAGTAAGAGTCACATTTGATTGAATAATTGTTATTCTTTGCTTTATTTTCCGGAAGGACTAGATGTTATAAATCCTCTAAAGGATGCGACTCATTCTCTTCGATGAAATATAAGCCATTTTCTCCAGTGACCTCTCTTCTCCACAAATGATTAAAGATTTCTTCATACCTAGTTTATACCTATTGCTGAGTAATTGATTTAAAGGACAGCCAGCTATCTAATTTGTGAGTTTGAGTAATTATGTAACTTAATCAAAGAAATTCATCCCATGATAAAGTTTTTAGAGAATAAAACATTGTGTAAATTAAACTAATTTGGATTAAGAGGTCCAGGGCACTCTTCTTACCTAGGCATCTGCCTTATCCCTAAGCTACAACTGAATTCAAAAACCTGTGAGAGGTTCTTCAAAGAGGAGAGCACCCCCCATACCTAACTGTGCTCACAATTACTGAGCAGATACTTTCCACCTTTTTTTAAAAAATGGCAATTACTGTCCTGAGACAGAAAATCAGTTGGGAAGCTACTTTTGTCTCATTACTACCTCTTTAAATTAAATTTTACCTCACTTATGGAGAGGTTGTAGAGAAACAGGTACCCTAAGACTCAATTATGGTAGAACTATAAACTTGGATGATCTTTTCAGAGAATAGTATGATAGTAAAAGTTATACCAATATGGGGCAGCTTGGTGGAGCACTGGATAGAGCTCTGGCCTTGGAATCAGGACCTGAGTTCAAATCTGGCCTCAGACACTTGACACTTACTAGCTGTGTGACCCTGGGCAAGTCAGTTAACCCCACTACCTCACCAAAAAAAAGAAAAGAAAGAAAA